TCATTTCTCAAGCTTTTTTCCTAGGAGAATTTTTCTTATATGGGGAAATATCTTCGAAGATTAGAAGTGCATGAAAGGCACTTACGAAGTGGGGGGAGGGGGGGGGAGGGTTGTTAACAAGGACTCGAAATTGGCAAACTAGATAAGAACTCGTAATTGTTATCATAAATTAGATATACTAAAAATTTGATAAAAGCGTCAAGCAGAGGAAGCCAAAATGAGACATCAGCAAGTCACTTCCCCCTCCACCCTTGACACCACGTGATAGGGGGTGTCAAGTGGTGTCGGGTAATATCAGGTGGTAGTAAGTGGTGTGTGTGTGTGTGTGTTGTCGGGTCGAGGCAAGGGACACCTCGAATGGACTGAGAGTGTTGGAGTGTGTGTGTGCTGGTGAGAGTGATGGAGAACTCTACTAACCATTCGCCAGCCCACCAACCCACCAGCTGGCTCTCACAGACCTATACATCACCCACACCCCTCCACACCCCCCCTCCCCACCTCCCCTACCCCCCTCCATACCCTTCCCCTACCCCCCTCCCCTCCCCTCCACACCCCTCCAAATATCTCACAAACGTCTCTGCCTTAGACTGAGGGAGAAAGGTCATAAGAAAGCTTTATACATAAGCATGTATGATAATGTATGATACAGTCGCTATATGTCTGCAGTGTACTCACCTAGTTGTGCTTGCGGGGGTTGAGCTCTGGTTCTTTGGTCACAGAGTGTGTGTGTGTGTGTGTGTGTGTGTGTGTGTGTGTGTGTGTGTGTGTGTGTGTGTGTGTGTGTGTGTGTGTAGTTTTAGCCCATGTGCGGGACTTCAGTTCAGACGTGGGTGGCAGCGGTCGGTCAGCCTTAAAGTAAAAAAGTCTTAATCTTGGTGAATACTGAACACATAAAACTGCACACCCCGAGGAGGCGGCGTGTCGGAGCCGCTCAGGCCCCGCGTGTGTGGTGCTCAACACCCGCCAGGAAGGTCTGGGGCGGTACTGTGCAGGACTAGAACGGTACAGTAAAGAACTAGAACGGTACAGTGAAGAACTAGAACGGTACAGTGGGACAACGTAAAGGAAGTTATGGGAAAGCACTGAGCCAGTATGACTATATGGAATAAGGGAATAAGGAAACGGTATAAACACATTCCTAAATAGAGAAGCAAGCAACCATACCAGCCGCTCTTGGATGTAGATCTTGTGGTAGGTCGTGAATTGACCGGCCAGTCTTCAGTCCGTGGAAGCTGACCAGTGAATGTGTGAGGCGCTGGAGAGTGTATGAGACGCTGGAGAGTGTATGAGGCGCTGGAGAGTGTATGAGGCGCTGGAGAGTGTATGAGGCGCTGGCCAGTGAGTGTGTGAGGGACCTGTTCACCCTCCCAAACCCCATCACGTGCCGTACCCCCGATATACAGACCACCATAACCTGCACGTACGCCTCTGGCACGTGTAGCGCCCACAACGCAAGATCCGATAGGCTACGCCGTCTCACTTCAGCAGTGGGGGCGGCCCTGTACCCCTCCGGAGCCTGCAGGAGCGGCCAGGGGCAGCTGCGGAAGGGTCCTGGCTCACTCTGGAAGAGGGTAAGCCTGGAAGCCATGAATGGTTCGGCGCTCATCCATTAATTTTCCCGAACTTATAATTATCCAATCTCCTTGTGGGTTTTGCCGCGCCCTGGGAACACGCCGGCCCGCCCATCTTCACACCCAGGTAAATAAAGTATTTATTTGGGTGATGGCTCGGCTTACATTAGCTTCGACGGGGTCGGAGAACAGACAGAAACAAGTATATAAGAAACAAAGAGATGTATAAGAGAGAGAGAGAGAGAGAGAGAGAGAGAGAGAGAGAGAGAGAGAGAGAGAGAGAGAGAGAGAGAGAGAGAGAGAGAGAGAGAACTGAAATGGAGAATTAGCATAGCGGTGAAGAGGGATTAGGAAATAGAAGAGACGTGGATAGAAGTAGCGCCAATGAAACAGGGACGTGGGAGGAAGACAACAAAGGGAATGAGAGGATGGAAGATCCCTACGCTGTTGTTGTTAATAAAGATTCGCTACCTGGAACAAAGTTCCAAGTAGCACGGGCTATGGTGAGCCCGTATGAGGTTGATCCCTACGTCTTGCACACGTCTGGGGGCTGATGGGGGTTCTCCACCACTGATCATCTCTGGGGTTATGTGTGTTACTTAACCCCTCTACACGAACCTCCGTCACACACCACTTAACACTACAACACACGCACTATCACCAAAAGTTCATTGACAGTTGAACAAATCCACAAGAGCCGTGACGAGGATTCGAACCTGCAGTGTCCGGGAGCATCCCAGACACTGCCTTAATCGACTGAGCTACGACAGGGTTAAAAGAGTTGAAACCGTGTTCATTTAATGCATAACGTTAGTGTGATTTCTGTGTGTTTATTGACAGTTGAGAGGCGGGACCAAAGAGCCAAAGCTCAACCCTTACAAGCACAACTAGGTGAAGTAAAAAAAAAGAAAAGTGTAGAGCATTTTCACACTACTAATAAATAAATATTAATAATGTATTTATTATAATGTTAAACTTATAAACAAATCAGAGAAAAAATAGTAATATAGTATTTTGTGTAGAAAATAATTATATATTTTTTATTATAATGTTTTTATTATAATTATTCACATCTATAGTATAATTTACTTTCTGGTTTGCAATCAAATTCTTCACCTTTTTAGTAGTGTGTATAGTAATGCGGGAATGATATACTGTAATGGAAGACTATCGTGTATTATTACCCAAGCATTTATCAGATTTTTGAAGCTGTTAAATTAAAAATGAAATGTTAAATTAAATTAAATGCTCGTGGATAGGTAGAATCTTTCAGGTCACCGCTGGACACCTTTGTGTGTTATCCCTGAGTGAGGCAGGTGTAGCTGGGTGTGAGATGAGTGTTTTGTGAAATGCAGTAACTGTACATATTAAACTGACGAACAGCCGGATAACCTTTAGGAACTTGAGCAAAGGTACTTTCCAATAGCACCCATAGTGCTATTGGAAAGGAGGCATGGGTCTCAAGACTCAAGAATGCATACTCAAGAATGGGTCTCGTGTACAACGTATGCGAGACCCATTCTTGAGTATGCATCCCTGGCATGGAACCCCATAAGGGGAGCCGAAAACAAAAGTGGAAAAGGTCCAGAGATATGTAACAAGACTCGTACCGTAACTAAGGGAACTGAGATATGAAGACTGAGAAAACTGGGCCATACCACACTGGAGGAAAGAATGAATAAGGCAGACATGATAACGACATACAAGATTGTAATTAAAAGTGACCAAGTATGGAACAATGTTGAAAGTATGGAACAATAGAGCTAGAGGTTATTAATAAGAACTGGAGACAAATGAAACACAGATATGGCGGAAGAAATTCTTTAGTCAGTCTTAAGTAGTAAATACAAGGGGATGGGCTAGACTGACACGTTCCCGAGGTCAATGCAACACCCAGCTTCATTGTCTTCTACGCTCCCTTGCTATCCTCTTCTTATTCCTATTACTATCTCCTTCGGTGGTTATAATAGGAGCTGCCTCGTATGGGCCAATAGGCCTGCTGCAGTTCTCATTACTACTATCCCCTACACCTGACTTTCCTTCTCAGCTCTCTCTTGCCTATTTAATGCCTGTCCCTACCTGTCCTCATCACAATCGACTTGAGAATGGTCCAGGACGGACCGAAACGTCGTCGTCCCTTCAATTTCTAGTGTGTGGTCTGGTCAACATACTTCAGCCACGTTATTGTGACTCCTCGCCTGCACCCAGCTATATATGTGAACATAAAAGGAAAAACAAATGAAAAAGAATCACTGTCCCGAACAACTGATGCTCGAAAGCACGATGCTTTCAGACGAGACACTCGGCCCTGCAAGTACATCTAGGTAACTACAAGAAGCCGAGTACATCCAGGTAAGCATACCAGTTAACTACTAACATAAACCACATACCTTACAACCCCGGGTGATGGCAACATCATCTGTTGCAAGGAGCAGCTTGTGCAGCAGCAGCAGCAGCGACACACAGGGAGCAGCTGGGTATCAGCAAACAACACTAGACGAAACACTGAATGCTGTTGGAGCGAGTGTAAGCGCAGAGGAAGCGAGCGCAGGGTCGGGGAGAGATTGGCATAAACAAAGGGGCTTAGACTGGATAAGCACTAGTGTTAGCGAGTCCCTAGCACCACAGGAGCGTGTTAGCGAGTCCCTAGCACCACAGGAGCGTGTTAGCGAGTCCCTAGCACCACAGGAGCGTGTTAGCGAGTCCCTAGCACCACAGGAGCGTGCTAGCGAGTCCCCAGCACCACAGGAGCGTGCTAGCGAGTCTCCAGCACCACAGGAGCGTGCTAGCGAGTCCCCAGCACCACAGGAGCGTGCTAGCGAGTCTCCAGCACCACAGGAGCGTGCTAGCGAGTCCCCAGCACCACAGGAGCGTGATAGCGAGTCCCTAGCACCACAGGACCGTGATAGCGAGTCCCCAGCACCACAGGAGCGTGCTAGCGAGTCCCCAGCACCACAGGAGCGTGCTAGCGAGTCCCCAACACCACAGGAGCGTGCTAGCGAGTCCCCAGCACCACAGGAGCGTGCTAGCGAGTCCCCAGCACCACAGGAGCGTGCTAGCGAGTCCCCAGCACCACAGGAGCGTGCTAGCGAGTCCCCAGCACCACAGGAGCGTGCTAGCGAGTCCCCAGCACCACAGGAGCGTGATAGCGAGTCCCCAGCACCACAGGAGCGTGATAGCGAGTCCCCAGCACCACAGGAGCGTGATAGCGAGTCCCCAGCACCACAGGAGCGTGCTAGCGAGTCCCCAACACCACAGGAGCGTGCTAGCGAGTCCCCAGCACCACAGGAGCGTGATAGCGAGTCCCCAGCACCACAGGAGCGTGATAGCGAGTCCCCAGCACCACAGGAGCGTGATAGCGAGTCTCCAGCACCACAGGAGCGTGCTAGCGAGTCCCCAGCACCACAGGAGCGTGATAGCGAGCGGTGAGGAGCACAGTGCCCCACTGGTGAGGACGACAGCCAGGCTAGCATGGTGAGGGCGGGCCCCGGGGCGATAGCTTGGCATCATGCTGAGTCTACTTCCTGCCCCACCTCCACGCCTGCCGCCTGCCGCTCACTCTACCTTCACACTCTCACGCACACACACGCACATACACATACACACACACACACACACACACACACACACACACACGCACACGCACCTTGTATACCCCATATGTGAGCCTACATCTAGTCAAATACAAAACGAAGTTAGAAAAGGTTCATAGGTGTGCCTCCAGGCTAGACCCCAAGCTGAGAGGTATGAGCTATGAGGAACTGAACCTCACGACACCGGAGGACAGATAAGTTTGGGGAGACATGATCACTACCTATAAAATTCTCAGAGAAATTGACAGGGTGGATAAAGATAAACTGTTTACCACGGGTGGTACTCGAACAAGGGGACACAGGTGGAAACTGAGTACCCAAATGAGTTCCACAGGGACGTTAGAAAGGACTTTTTCAGTGTCAGAGTAGTTAACAGGTGGAATGCATTGGGCAGTGATGTGGTGGAGGCTGACTCCGTACACAGTTTGGAATGTAGATATGATAGAGCCCAGTAGGCTGAGGAATCTGTACATCAGTTGATTGACAGTTGAGAGGCGGGACCAAAGAGCCAGAGCTCAACCCCCGCAAGCACAACTAGGTGAGTACACGTTTATTTTACCACCAACGATCGCTGAGTTTGCATTGGAATTCCTTCATTGCTGTGAACTGTGTACTGGTTTACTATGAGGTTCAACAGGTCCAGGGAGCCTGGGAAGAGAACCAGTGGTATTCCTTATCCTCACTCCTAAGCCTGACTCTCACACTCACTCTCAAGTCTGACTCTCACTCTTACTCTTACAGCCTGACTCTCACTCTTTCTCTCAAGTCTGTCTCTTACTCTTACTCTCACAGCCTGATCCCCACTTTCACTCTCAAGAATGTCCCTCATTCTCACTCTCAAAACTGACTCTCAATCCGAACTCTCACTTTCATTGCAAGGCCTGGTCATAACTCTTACTCTTAATCCCGACTCTCACTGGCTTGAGATATGTACTCACCTAGTAAAGACCATTTTATAACTCACTTGGGCTTGAGGCTTGAGGTGTGTGTGTGTGTGTGTGTGTAATTGCTCACATATTTGAGTTCAAGCTCCTGGTTCCCGCCATTCAAGCTATCCCTCGTTCAGTGCCGAAGCATTTAATTTGCATTTTTTGTTATCATATTGACTTTTAAGCTGATGCCTTGAAGGGGTGATCTCTTGTTAGATAGACACGAGTTGGGATATCTCCTGTCTCGAGCTTCCGGAAAGCTATCAAAACTTCTGTCTGAAGTGACGAGGTTCGAACCCTCGTCACGGCCCTTGTGGATTTGTTCTCTCATCTCCAGTTTGATCGCTGCTGGTCGATCATAGCACAGCCCGTTTGATATGACAGTCCAAATCCAACCATTTAGTCTAACCAGAGATGTGCCAACCCAATCAACCCACTTAATCTATCGAGTCCCCCGCACAGAAAACGGGAATATTTGTGAACCGTTACTTTTTGTCTAAATAGGTTGTATTTGTAAACCCCTCCCCCCCCCCCCCGACCTATTGGGCAAGGAATCGATAGCAAGCAATTAGGATCAGACACCTTAATAACAATTCTCACCTCTCGGTTCCTCTTAACAGACTCCAGTTCTTTACTCTTTGATCTCAGTTCTCTCTGTCTGCCTCTTTAGGGCGGCTGGAAGCTATTAAAGGAAATGTAAATAAAAGTACTTATTTTGTACATTGGCTGGAGCAAAGGTAAGCAGGTTGGAAGCTTTATTTACCCAAAACTTGTTTTTTTAATTTGATTTCTGCGTTAATATCCTGAGCAACGCAGTTACAGGTGACACAGGTGAACATAGGGACACAGGTGAACATAGGGACACAGGTGAACAAGTGACACAGGTGAACATAGGGACACAGGTGAACATAGGGACACAGGTGAACATAGGGACACAGGTGAACATAGGGACACAGGTGAACATAGGGACACAGGTGAACATAGGGACACAGGTGAACATAGGGACACAGGTGAACATAGGGACACAGGTGAACATAGGGACACAGGTGAACATAGGGACACAGGTGAACATAGGGACACAGGTGAACATAGGGACACAGGTGAACATAGGGACACAGGTGAACAAGTGACACAGGTGAACATAGGGACACAGGTGAACCAGAGCACACACATGTCAACAAGGGGACTCAGGTGAACAGGATTCAGGTGAGCAAGAGAACACCCACATTTGACTCGGCCCACATCTGCTGAACTCGCCCACACCTGACCCCTCCCACACCTGCTGCCACGCCCACACCTGCTCGCCACGCCCACACCCGACAAACTGGTCCGGGCGCCTCCCAACCGTCTCGGAATTCAGGCTCGGAATTACCTGTCTCTGTCCTTCTCTCATCTGTTCTTCTGTCTGTCTGTCTGTTCAGTCCTCTGTCCGTCTCTCTGTTCAGTCACCAGTCTGTCTGACAGAGGCCTGGTGCACTTCACTTGCAACAGTCTCCCACTCTGACTGAACTCCATTTATGCTTTCTCTGCTACCTTTGAATTAATCCCCCCCCCCCTTCCTCACTCACCCTCAATGCCTTCATGGTAATGAGTTAGGGTTAGATGAGTTAACCTTGACTCATCTAACGTTTAATGAGTCTTGTGAGGGGGGTAGTATCGAACGGCTTTGATAAAGTCGTGATGTGACAGCCTTTAGTAAAATAACATTGTTAATTCTTTATTAATCTGTGTTTTTGTTGAAGTAAACGAATGTTTTTTTCCGATTACCGATTCAAGCAATATTTTCTATATCAGACGTTTAAGCAAATTGAACGATAGTTCGAGGCCCCGGGCACTATTTCCCTTTGTAAAATTGGCACCATATTAGGCACTCTTCACCACTCTGGGACTCTGCTCAAGACATGATTTATTAAATGCGTATAAGAAAAAGGGGGCCCCCTTAATTCTGCTTTACATTCTTTCAGCACCCTGGCAAACACTCCGTCTGGTCCTGAGAACTTATTTGGCTCTAAAGTTTGTCTTTGCTTAGTTCCTTCCTCCCTGGTAACCACTAAACAAGGCCACTTGCCCACCCAAAAGACTTTAAAACACTTTTCATTTCTTCGCGGGATATCAGTCCAAGCGCTGAGAGTCGGAGCGTTAACCTGTCGCTCTATAGAGCTCCCTGGCACACGGGAGGACGCCCACGGGTCTCTATACGAGCGTGCCAGCTCTACCCGGCAGCAGCAGTCACCCCGATACCCGCCTGGCGACACATTGTAATGATTAGTATATAAGAAGCTTCAGGACGGGTGGTCCCGAGTGTGTTTACTGTCCTGGCCACAGACCAAGTAGAGCACCGAGAAGGGTGGTTGTCAACCCGTTCTCGCACCTATAGTCAATATCTTGCTTATGAATAAGTGCATATGTGACATGCTAATTGTGAATATTTGAGTTTACCTTGAAAAGCTGAATAGAAAACCACAACCTAACCTAACCTTCTTAGTATGTTAAAATATTGCAATTAGTACTGAACTTATACCTATATTGATATTACAGTTTTATAAAAATAATAAAACAAAACTAAAATATTTAAATAAATTGTAAAGTAACTCAGGATATTGTCAAATTTTCATAAAATCTCTATTGTTTAATAAAACTAAGAGAAAAAGTTAGTGCCATGAAAAAAAATTATGGCTTGTAATATGTCACATATGTACTTATTTATAAGCGAAATAGTGACTATAAGCAATAAGTCATACATGTGCTGTCTTGTGCGAGAACAGGTTGCCAAAATTTGAACTTGAAATTCTCAATCTCTTTCCTTGTCATTTCTAATATCACCTTGATGGAAAATAGTATGAATCCTCTGATTATATATATATATATATATATATATATATATATATATATATATATATATATATATATATATATAATTATGTGTGTGAGTGTGTACTCACCTAGTTGTGCTAGATGTCAATCAACTGGTATTGACAGTGTGTGTGTGTTGGGCAGAAGGGAGGGGTGAGGTATGAGGGGGGAGGTGTGAAACAGAAGGGATGGGACAGGAGGGGAAGGGTGGGACAGGAGGTGGGGGGGGGGAAGGGACGAATACAGGGCGACCCCTGGCAATATCCAGCAGAAGAGCTTTCGTAATCCACGGGCCGAGAGGTCGGCGCGTGCTCGGCCGCCTCAATCTCGGCCGGGAGATGCACAGGCCGGCCGAGAGCTCGTCCTCTCATGTCTCTCACTCACACTCACTCACCATTTCATTCAGCTGACTCACTCACTCCACTATCTCCCTACACTGTGATGTGTAACAGATCTCTGACTTCGTGGAGGACAGCAGAATATGTATATATGCGGGTTAGCATTATATAAATGTATGGCCACGTCTGTGGTAGAAAATACACTCAAAATCTGCTTCACTTAACTCGCACTTCATCTGTAATGGAGAAACAGGCAGGAATGAGAGGGAAGATGCTCCAATGTCAATAGGAGCAACCTACCATAGGGTTCAGAGTCCTTGTTAGCAGTTGTAGTAGTAGTAATAGGTAATAGGATCTATAATAGTACTACCTATAATAGTAATAGGATCTATAATAGTACTACCTATAATAGTAATAGGATCTATAATAGTACTACCTATAATAGTAATAGGATCTATAATAGTACTACCTATAATAGTAATAGGATCTATAATAGTAGTAGGATGTGGATACATTTAGTTTCGGTTTAATAATGTTTCTCCCACTTGGGTTTCCAGCTACAGGATTCAGAAAAGAAATAGTGGAATCGTCTGTTTTACTTCTGGCCAATATACAGTGGGAGTTGTTGAGAGAGCCTTCGGCTTTTCTACCAGGACCTCAACTATTCAGACAGAATCTTCAAGAGTTGGTTACCGCCTCTATAGCTTTGTTATCAT